AGTCAAGAGTGTGAGGAGGGGGCAGGGAGCAGGCAGGGATTGGCAGGGAGAGCAGGCAGGACTGGCAGGGAGCTCTCACTGGCCAGATGTTCTCGTTGGGCGTCCCCAGCAGCTGCACGATGAGGTCGATCTGGTGGATCTCGGAGGTGCCTGGCAGCAGTGGTTTGTGTGCCAGCAGCTCAGCCAGGATGCAGCCTACGGCCCTGAGGAGCACAGGAGGAGCTCCCCATTAACCCCCCCCCCGTTTGCAGCCCCTCCCCAGCCCCCGCCTGGGCAGCCCCCCTTACCACATGTCGATGCTGGTGGTCTGGGTGGTCATGCCCAGCAGCAGCTCCGGCGCACGGTACCTGCACAGGTGAGGCTCCGTGGCAGAGCCAGCCCCGCTGTGAGCCACCCCTGCCCCGCTGTGGGGACTCACCCCCGGCATGGCCACTCACCACAGCGTCACCACTTTGGGGGTCATGGGCTTGGGGGGCATCCCATAGGTGCGAGCCAGGCCGAAATCAGCTGCAACAGAGACTCTGGGTCAGGAGGGAGCTGAACTCTGAGCTCCGGCCATGGCATGGAGCAGATGGAGCTGCCAGGACTCACCTATCTTCACACAGCCCTTGTCAGTCATCAGCAGGTTGGAGACCTTCAGGTCCCTGTGAGGCACAGAGTGGCTGCTCAGCACCATCCTCAGCATGGCTCCTCCGCACCCTGGAGCTGAGCCATGATGAGGAGAAGCCAATCCCATCATTCCAGGGCCTCCCTGCCCTGCTGGTGCTCCCACATGGAGCCACTGATGGGCACCAAACCCTCAACCGGAGCTGTTCAGTCCCGGGCTGTGGGAGGTGTCCCCTGACACCCCCTTCCCCCACCAGCTCCATCCTGCTGCTCCCACCTGTGGATGATGTAGTTCTCGTGGAGGTACTGCAGGCCCTTGAGCACCTGCAGGATGATACACTTCACCTGCAGACAGAGACAGGAGCTCCAATCTCTGCGGGAGCAGCCCCCTCTGAGAAAACCCCTGGAGGTCAAACCCACTGGG